GAATAGGTAAGTTTAATAGTTGTAAATTATTGTTGATTCCACCTTTACACATAAGACTTCATAATAATCATCATTTCAGCCTTTTTGAGTCCACTGCTGAACATAGGCCTCCCCCATAGACTGTCACGAAGTACGATCCTGAGCCACCTGCAACCACCACATTTACATAGATGGTCACTCCATCAAGTGGGGGGTCGTCCCACACTGCAATGCACGAGGCTGCCACTCGAGAACCTTTCTTCCCCAACGTACTGACCATAAGACTTACCAATGGTAAAACTTCTTTCAACATGTTTATGTAAAACTACAAAATTTTAAATGCAATCAATAACACTTCTGACATTAAAATTATGTAATAAAAAATAATAATAAAAGAAGATAACTACAGCTTAATAGTTATTTTGTGTCCTATTATCTTTCTCCGTAAAATAGCGTCCCATGTGAACATCTACCACCACTTTGTTATTTTATGCCATTGCGCAGCATTAATCAGGTACATACTGATTATTTTAGTTTTTACTGATTTTGCAAGGTTTTGTATTAATATAATTAATTATATTATTACAAAACCTGTTTTATGTTTACATAAAATTAACAGACATTACATTCTTATCCATAGAAACTGAAAAAGCATCTTTGGGATTCTAGTTTTCTATTAAGTTTTGTCTGTGTATTAATATTTTACGCGATCTGAACATTTTATTGAACTTATTAGCATATAGTTAAAACAGTAATTCGGGTTTTTATCAACGTAATATAAAGCGCTAAAAATTGATTTGCAAACTATCACTTCTCCACACGAAATAGGCCAAAAAGCGAATTGGACGCTGGGCGCGCGCCTCCCGCCTGCCTCCCGAAGGTCTTAAGTGTATTTCGTACGTTATTCTTTGTCAAAAAAATAAGACTTTGTTCGACTCTGTATTTCGGTAACCAAGCAAAATACAAAAAAAATTAAAACACACGTAAATAGGTCTTGAACACTATTGCAAGGAATAGTAAATATCTATTTTTGCTTTAAAATCGCATCGGACTTCATTCTTCGGAACAGACGAATATATCCAGACAATGAGCTTTCACGCCTTCAGCAATCAATCCTAAAATGACTCTTAATATAAAAAACTGGTTCTGTACCTCTAGTAAATCGTGAACATGACACTAAATCGAGACCCGCTGACCCATTTCTAGTCACCTGCCCAAGACTAGTCAATTTACCTCAAAAATCTCGCAAACTAAGGTCGAAAAGAAAAGCAGCGTGTTGACTTAACACACATACATCTATATTCAAATGGGCGCCCGCCCTCATTTTATGCATCAAAGGAAAAAAGTACTTCTTGCCTTTGACACCTTTGATGTTAAAAGTTGGATTTCAATGAACTGCCAAATGGTTTCTTCGAATTTTTTATTATTTTTAATATTTTAGCGACAATAGTGACAGTCACTCATAAAGTATACCTTAAATAACCAAAACAAATTGGATTCACGGTTTACGGGCTCCGTACATAATTAATTATGTTTACCGATAATTTATCCATCCTGCTAATTTAAAGGAATATTTACAATAAAAAAAAATTTCTTTCCTGCAAGATGACTTAAATTTTTATAATTATTATTCTATATCAATACACAATCAATGACTATAAAGCAATTTATCAAAGAGATATTATTAAATTGTTAAAACGGAAAAAGATATTCTGACATTTCTTTTACTTTCTAAAAAGTTCACTTCAACTTACACTCGAAGTAGAATTGGCGCACTCCATTCAGAATGCAGATCAATATTTTTATAATATATAACTTGTGATTTCTTTATTAAGATATGTTATTTTTTCCTCGCATACATTCCAATGTTCTAATTAGTTCGAACAGCTTAAAAATAATTAACAATTTGCGGTACTAGTATTGTAATTGTTGTGTAGTACTTGAAGACATATAAGTGCACAGCCGTGATGAGTCACGCGACAGTGTCGTATTTCACGACACTTCCACAGCAACTTACAAAGGAATACCATTCAATCATTGTGTTAATTAATTAAGGCTAGAGATGTTGGATGTCTGTAGTGCTTAAGAGTACTCAATTACTGTTTGTCTTGAAAAAAATTAAATTGATTTTTCATGGTAATGAGAAAATAAAAAATAATTCATCATATTTCAGAGATAATTTAAAATTTCCCTTTTCTGTGAATAGCATACATATAAAATTATACAATAATTCTGAATAAAAAACATTTAATAATGTGCTTTTAATTAGACATTTCAATATTCCTCGTATTGCCAGTGGTCAGCAAAAAGTCAATGGAGGACGTGAAAACACAGAGTAATGTTAACTTTCCCGGCCGTGCGATTTAAAGTTTCTATTCTATTATTGATTTATTGATTTGGCGAGAATATCGAATATTGTGAAATGAAACTTTAAATTTCGCTCATTTAACCATGAACGCTCGAAACGTCGGGAATTTAAGCGATAAAACCCGTAAAATAGTTTCTATTGCCATGTTAAAAATGGTAAATTTAATGAATTCAGATCCTTTTATATAGGGGATTTAGATACATTTGACATTTAAAGATAGTATTGGAAAATATGTGACAGCGACTGTTATATTTACCTATCTGTTTAAATATTTGAATAGGTAATAATTTAAGGTAATAGTATATTCTTGTAATCTAGATATTACCACAGGCTCCTAGCTGAATATGTAATTAATAATGTTAATGTAATGTAATTACATTGTCAAGATTATTATATTTAATATTATACAACACTGGATTCCCAACAAAGAACTCGACTTATGAAAAATGTTTTCTATTAGTTCACTATGTAGTTCTAGTTGGTGTAGTTGGTAACTTTATTTCATGCATTTGAGACTAAATACAATTTATTTTACCTATATAGAAATCTTCAGCAAATGTTTAGTGTATCGTAATAATTAATTGTATTATTTTAATGAAATTTTATTACTCTATGGATAATCCTGTAAAGGCATAACGTGGCCGATATGGCACGATTGTATACCGTCGTCGAGCAGACTTTTAAGTGCTACAAATCCTGTTCAATGCCCCACCTTCATACGGTCAGTTGTTTTCATAAGTGACGAACTAACAGCGCTCATTTATCGCGTCATGCGTAACGAGGAAACATTAATTTAAAAAATGAGTGCATTCATCGTAATATTTCTCATTGTTCTAATGAATGTTATAACACTAACAAAATTAAACGCGAATTCTACCCCGTTAAGTACAGTAGATAATGTAACAGATGGAAACGTAGATAGCTTTTCTACTTTACGAATACGACAAACCTGGACGACATCGGAAGTGACGCCGGCGACCTCCGCCGGAAACAATCTAAATGATGTTTCTAGCACCGAGACGATTAAGTCCCTGGAAGAAGGAGAAGAAAATTTCCTGGCAATCTCCCCCATTTTATTATTGGAGAAAAACTCAGTTCAAGAAAAAATTGACGATACGAATGGAAGAAATGTATTTAAGGCTCTGAATAAAAATGCCACGACGCCGATTAAGCCTACACTTTCTAACAACGATATTAAGAAAGGTATTAACTTGCCACCACCACTGAATTTAATTTGGGAAAATTGCTTGGAATCTGCCTACAGAGAACACAATAAAATGAATTTTAAACCACAACGTGTCATAGAAATAGCGAAAAACTTACAAATTAAAAACAACAGAATTGGAGGAAATATTTGGGATAAACGGGATGCAGGTGCTATCCATTCTGACACTATTAAGGCTTGGTTAGATAAATACAATCATTTAAAAAACTCTAAAAAGCAAATTAAAACCAAATTAGAGGCGAGTGAAACGAATTTAATAATGGATATAACCACACCATCAACGATGGCGTATTCAACACCTTTTGAAGTATTTTCTGTGACAAAGGAAGTATTGGAGCATGAATCTTCAATAAACAACACTTTAGATTTATCTATAACAGAAAAGAACTATAAAGCAAACAACTCTCTTGAATGGATTGAAGAAATGGATAGAAGTAAAATAAAATTCAGTAGTTTACCTCAAATGCAAAATTATTTAATACCGAAATTTAAATTAGATGAAGGATTCCATCCATTTACTTTTGTATCCAACTTTTTTTCACTTATATACCCATTCGAGTTTCCTATAGGTGAGTAATGTTCAAAAATATCATCCTGTTTCTATTAAAATCATGGTGTGTAAATAATGTGTATCTTATTACCAACTAGTAGTGGTTGAATGAAGAAAGCAGAAGATCGTGTACCTTGTGAGTATCGTGTGATGCTTATGTTCAGCAGTTGAGTGCAATAGGCTCATTTATTGAATGTTATTACAACTAAAAAATATGACTCCGTGAATCTCCAAGTAAATTTCCCATGAGTGTTGATTGTGTGAATGAATTAATAACTTCCCTTATCATTAACATCAAGTAACAAAGAGGGCCAAATGGCTGGAGACGTCACTAATGATCTTTTGAGATTTCTTACTTACATAATCTTTAGGTAAGAAAGCAGCGAGAGCTTAAGAATTATCATTGATAATTTGTTTTGTTTTTAAGGTCTTGCCAAGGACATCATTTGGGGAAAATTTACTTTTCCATTCTCGTTCATACAGGTAAATACCTACATTAATTTTAATTAATAAAAGTCATTTCTTATGATTTCCTCGCATTTATTTTATAAAGACTTTAACTTAACTTTACTTAAAAACGAATGAAATATTTTGTTTGTTACTCTTCCTATTTTGTAATGCTTATTTCTGTAAATACAATTGAAAATATAACTTGTGTAGTCTAATCAATACAGGTTGTTGTTTAGTCGACAAACTTTGTCTGTGGCATTTTAAAATCCTTATTGAACTTTGACGTAAAGAATAAACAATCCTTTTCTCTGAGTATGGTATTATAAGTAATGATTTGTACTTTACTTTGTTTGTATATATTATATCTTTATTTTTACATTTTAAAATTTTCATAATATTGAATTCCAGTCTGATATTAAAACATATTATAGAACAAATAATTCATCTTTAGGAACTTTACTAAAGAAATGTTTAACATTACCAAAACCAATATTAATCACGAGATCAATTAAAGGCCCTCCGAATTCGTTAACAACATCCTTCCAGTTTTCATTAAGGAAGGTCAAAACTGTTTCACCTGCAAAGAAAAATGCAAATTAAATGTTTTAACGTCAAAGTTTTTTGTTTGATCTCATTAATTAAGTTTTTGTTATCACACATATCAATAACAATACTCACTCAGTTGTGGATTTCCCTTAAAGATATTAGTAAGCGAAAAGTGTACTCTATCTCTGATATTGTAGGCAACTTTGTAGCTTTTTACATCATAGTAAGTTACTCCATCCCGAACCACGTCAGAAAACGTTAGCTTTCCTTTTAAAACCATGTCCGCTAGAAAATAAAGATTAATTGAGAAACATTTTTTGTTTTACACTTTTTTAACGTTTCTTTTAATCCCTGCAAATAAATAAGCATTCTAAGTACATTATTATCCTCCTGCCCTTATCCTAGGTGTATATCCCGGCACAACATTTGAATCATATTGCAAGCGGTTTTGTACATAGTGTTATGTAACATGAAAATCGGTAACGGTACACGGTGATGAAATTAAACGGTGGTAGGGCCACGCAGCAGCCTCGGCTGTTGCACGAATGGGCAGGCTCGTCCGGGTAGGTACCACGACCTCACAGAGGACCGGCGTAAAGTGGAAGTAATACTTTCACCTTTCGTCTGGTGAGTGGGGTGGGAGCCCAATTTTCAAAAGGTTGTCAACACATCTGGAGCCCTATGATGTAACAGATGTTCATGGGCGACGGTATTCACGTAACATAAAAAAACATGAAAATCAGTATTACAAATCTAGCACAAATTAAGCAGTAAGTGGTAATTCAAAAACCAAGTTAGTTTTTTTTTGTTTCTAATGATTTCTTTAACAAAATCTTATTATTCATAACAACACAAGATATTTTATTAAACAAATATCTACTAACAGATTTTTAATTTCGCATCACCATCTCCATTAATTGAAACTATGAGCACTTTTCCTTGTGCCTTGTATTTGCCTTTTATCGTCAAGTTACAATGTATTTCTATGTTCGCCTCGATTCCTTCGAATCTGCAATAAATATATTTAATGAATGACAGGCCTTAAAATCTTAAAATATGTTTCATAAGAATTTCAATATTGATAAGAAAATAAACACAGTTCCTGGTAAAACTAGTATGAATGATTATCGAAACATGATTTGCATAATAATATGGTTTATTATGTAGTTCACAAAATTAATAGTCGTAGTAGTGAGTCAATAGTAGTGGATGCCAACAACGTTGTCGTTTATAAAAAGCTTTAATCAATATTAATATTTGTTTTTTGTATATTAGCTAGTAAATAAATTTAATTGAAATTTCAAAGATAATAATTTTCCTGCGTGTCTACTACTTATTGCTGTGAGATTCAGTTCTAACTCCGTAATTTATTAAAATCACATACAATTCCAACATTGTTTAATGTGATTTTATTATTTCCTATCGACCTATTTTTTATTATGTGATACGGATATGAAATTTGTGGATATATGGGTTTTATTTCAGCTGTAACAAAAGACATAAAGATTAGAACTCCTCGGTAAAAAACATCGTAAAAATACTTCCTTGTCGTTCAGCATTTTTGACTCTCAATAAGCTTGTTAATACTTTGTATATTTTTTGGCCAAATATTAAGTAAGAATGTTTTCCATTAAATGATTACAATTAGTAATTCCATTAGCGCTGACACCTTGATTTGAACTCGGGTCCTCTAGTATACTGAACTATCAGCGAACGACATGGTGTATCACAACAGACTTAATTTTTAATTATTTAACAAAACTTGTTTGATAACATTTCATTCCTTTTGACATTATCACTTGAATAATTCATAGTGTCCAAATAAATTCACTTCATTCTTTCAAGTTACAACTTCTATAATGTATTGATACAATTAAAGTTTTCTATCAAGTTTTACGTCAAACTTAATCTGCAACTTTTACATTTGACTCTCGACAGTGCAGCTTTTCCAAGTTCAGTGCATTTTCAGAATTGAAACGGCAGCTTTTAATAAAACCTATTTTATTTATAACCAAATGAGATTTTACTGTTTTTATTACTTGTTATTTTTTATCAAATTGTCTTGACCGTCTACAAGGTCTTGTGCCACATTTAAGTAATTATATAAAGCCCGATCGTTTTCCTCATATTATTCGAACTTACTATAAGAACTTAGTATACAAAAGACCTAATTTGAAATACCAAAGGCATCTATAACGGTCTCTCTGTGCCCTGAATTAATATGATGATATTACGCTCTTTTTAGCAGTTTTTCTATAAGTTTACTTTTTCTTTGCGTTTTTATATTAACATAATTTATATTTTAAATAAGTAAATATGTCTCGATTGTTTGTTGAAAGACAATAAAAAATAGCTGGTGACAACTGTTTCACTGCATAATATCATACAACATATTTAAAAAATCTATGATCAACGACAAAATTAATCATATTTCTATATTACATTATCCAATATCATTAAATCATAGATCTATAATCCATTGATATGATTGTATAATGTATTCTTACACGGAATGTTATTGTTAACCCGGTCGGGCAACCATCAGCTTTTAAAACTATTAATTTTAGAATGGACACAATATTTCATATCTGAACCTTACTTCACATCGTCCTGTAAACATAACGAAATATTATTTGAAACTTACTTTACATTGTCCACAATGCATTTCCTGAGACCTGTTAATACTCCATCCGTAAATTCCAGCTTTAGTCCGCCAGGTAGGTCCATTTTTATGTCACTATACGTGAGCGGGTCCGTGGAATTTACACCAATGCTTGGGATGCCTTTTACAAATAAGGGCAGAGTTTCTTGAAAGTTTTTCATCAAACAGTCAGATTTGAGGCCCACACATGGTTTAATGTAATCGGCTGAAATCAAAATTTATTAATTAACCAGTTATTTTTTACTTTTGTTTGTTTGTAATTTGATAAAAAAATTCTACAAAAGCATAATAAAAAAGATATTTCATACATATCATCTGCAATTTGCACATCCACAGTGGAGTCACGTGGTGGACTATGCTCTATACAGAGGAGGTTAATGCCCAGCGATGGGACATATAAGTTGTTACGCAACTTTCACTCACTTATTAAATTTTTGGAATTTGCTTAACTCTGACAAACAAACATAAGCATAGACCATATTTTATGCATATAAAAGTTTGATGTTTTGATGATTAAGTCAGGCGAAAAATGTTTAAATTTTTATATTATATGTTTAGGTGCTCATACAATCTTTAAATATGTCAGCGTATTGTCAGTTGTAATACGTAAAATAAAAACTAAAACTAAATGGCTGGTATACATATATAATTCGCTTTAAGGACAATTTCGCGTAACTTAGTTTTGTATATAATCGTGAAGAGTTTGGTCGAGCAAGCTGTAATTATATTTTTAGTCGGTAGACACATATTAAATCCTTACTTTATTATCACAACCGGAAATGAGGACTGAATGAAAGTAGAAAAGTAAAAAAGATTTTAAGTTAAAGTTTTAGGAAAAAGGACAAAATGTTTCTTGTCGCTATGGGAATCGAACCCACGTCTTTGGGATTCGCGCCCACGCTCTTTAACCACTTTGATCTTAAATACAGATATCAGCACTATTAAAAAAATTAAAAAAGATTTTAAATCTTATGGATTATGATTTCTGAGAAGTTCTTACATAATTTTCATATTATTTTTATTCATGGTGCAAAGACCATCAAGTAGCAATAAATACTAATTGCTAAATGGCTGTTTTTGCATATTAATGGTTTACATTAAGAAAACACAACTCACGTGATACTTTTGCTAAGCAGACACTACATTGCACTACTATAAAAGACACTATAAAAATTTTGAAGCTATACATTTTATCGTATAACAAAATAAAAATGGTTTAGTTTATTTTAAATTATGGAGACGTAGTCTCTCCTTGCGATCACTTAAGACAACTGAACGCGATATCGAAATATATGTATATATGACCACCGGTTTTTTTCGGAATCTTTTAGTATATGCATATGCATATAGGCTGACATTTGTGTTATTTATATAAGTAGTATCTAGGTAATTTGATTTTCATTGTCAATATTTTTGGTTAGGTATTTCGTTGAATAGCTTTTAATACAATAAAGCAATGTTATTATATACAAATACTAAGTAGATATGACGCGAGGCGTTCAAATTACATTGCAACTATCTAGACTGCTATCTCTTTTCGTATCATACGTTGTAACATTCTCTTAGATATGGCATATAATGTTAAGCGGAACAATTTTTAATCACGGCGCAGTATGGACATGCACCATCTTAACACATTATTGCAATAATGTGTTTAAAAATGAGTTGATAAAACAGTCGCCAAATTTTTGCAACCCGCAACTTATAGATTACGCTTCCAGACGCCCTATCCACTATGTGTTAGTGGCTCTAGGGTCTGGATGCGCAGTCCGTAAGGAACAGGTTCGAATCCTGGCTACGGCCAAAAAATTTTGCGACAAATTTGAAAATTTCTGCTAGCAATTAAAATTTTAAATCAAATTACTAAAATGTGTGTTTATAAATAATGATGCTGACTTCTTGCTTGGTACTAAATAAATTATTAATTTAGATACCAGTTCTATACTACGGAATATTATGATCAAATCTTCGTATTTAACTTTATCGTTTCTTAAGTTTTGTTTTATAATAAATGTTTTAACGCAACGGTCTTGACTGTTGCACGAAAAAAGGAAGCAATACATCTGCAACACTTCGGGTGAGGCGGCGGCTATCACATAATATCAGGTGAACCGCCTGCTAGCTTGTAACTTTCTAACATAAAAAAATATATCTGTATTTTGAAGAAAGCAAAAAACTAAATTTTGACGGCTTTGTGACATGATATCATGTTTAACATAAAAATGTTATATTTTTTTTTTTCAAAGTCAAATATCTTTATTCAATATAGAAGCATTCACTTACTTATTGATAGTCAAAAAACTCTACCACCGGTTCGGAAGGTAAGCCACTGAGAAGAACCGGCGTAAGAAACTCAGCGGGACATTTTTTTTTTTTTTAAATTACAAATATGTGTACAATTATTAAACTCCACTTGAAAGAGCCTGGAGCGATCAATTCATTTCCAGAGTGTGTTATCATTCATATAATCACTAATACTATAATAGCCATTAACACACAAACGTTCCTTTACAAGTTTTTTGAATTTAGCAACGGATTCATTTTGAACGTTTTCTGGGATGTTGTTGTAAAAGCGTATACATTGTCCCATAAAAGATTTACTTATTCTACGCAATCTAGTTGAGGGTAGAACTAATTTATGCTTGTTCCTAGTATTTACATCATGCACATTACTAAATCTTGAAAAGTCATTCTTATTTTTGTGGACATACATAACATTAGCAAGTATGTACTGAGAAGCTACAGTCAATATTTTTATTTCTTTAAACAGGTTTCTTAGTGAGTCTTTGGGGCCCAGGTTATAAACCGCTCGAATAGCTCTCTTTTGCAGGATGAAAATAGTATTTATGTCGGCTGAATTTCCCCAAAGTAGAATGCCATAAGACATTATACTGTGGAAATAGCTAAAATATACCAGACGAGCCGTATCCACATCAGTCAACTGTCTAATTTTTTTGACTGCAAAGACTGCTGAGCTAAGTCTACTCGACAGTTTATTAATATGGGGGCCCCACTGCAATTTGGCATCTACGGTTATGCCAAGAAATACAGTCGAGTCAATGAGGTCTAACGCTTCCCCATGTAAAAGTACATCAGTTTTTACACTTTTTACGTTGGGAGTTGTAAATTTAATACATTTCATTTTTTTACTATTCAACATTAAGTTATTAGCACTAAACCAATGCACTACAGTGGAGAGAGTATTGTTAACGTCGTCATAATTTGAAGAATTTCGTTTAACTTTAAAAATTAAAGAAGTATCATCAGCAAACAATACTATCTCATGATCATTATTTACAAGATAGGGCAGGTCATTTATGTAGATGAGGAAGAGAAAAGGCCCCAGAATAGATCCCTGTGGAACCCCCATACTTACCAGGGCCCCGGGAGATCTCTTGCCATTCACGTCAACTCTCTGAACACGATAGCTCAAGTACGATGTCAGAAGATTGAGTGCGGCATCTCTTATACCATAGTGGTCTAGTTTCCTGACTAGAGTGTCATGCTGTACACAATCAAATGCTTTGGTCAAGTCACAGAATATACCTAAGGCATCCTGCGACTCTTCCCAGGCTTCAAAAATATTCTTCACAAGCTGGATACCCGCATCTGTTGTTGAGCGACCCCTAGTAAATCCATATTGCTTGTTATGCAGCAATTTATGTGTACTAAAATGGAGTAACATTTGATTCAAAATCATTTTTTCAAAAATTTTACAAGAGTCGGTAGTACTGAAATAGGTCTAAAATTGCTGGGGTCAGAAGTACTACCAGATTTGAACACCGGAATAATCTTACTATGTTTCATAAGGTCAGGAAACTCGCCACGTTGAATACAAATATTAAAAATAGTTGCTAAGTAAGGTGAGACTACATCAATTATAGAACTGATCACCTTGACAGAGATCCCCCATAGATCAGCAGTTCTTTTAATATCTAGAGATTTGAATGTTTATATGTGAGATATATATGTGTAAAAATTATTATATAGTATTCTAATTTAATTCTGAGAAGATGCAAATTTCTGTCTTTTACTTAAAATGAACCCATTTTGTATCTACTTTTTAGGCTTATTAAAGGTTTTCACGTGTCCCCAAAATTGGAGGCAAAGCCAAGCTAGATCCAAAAAGATCAATAAACTCAATAGATCAAAGAACTTTATAGAGCGCATGTAGAGTCCAACACAAGACAAGCTTCATTTAGTTTGAGGGCCATACAGAACTATAATAGTAGTAGAAGCTATCTACGATGCTCCGATCCTTAGCTCTTGGAAAGATATGTGGTGTCATTTTAAACGGAAACGAATTAGGTTACTTCTAAACGAGATCCTTTTTGTAATATAAAGGCTGTGTTTCTGTGTTGCGATATCCGTGATATTTATTATATCATTCACTTGCCACCGCTGTCATAAGTAATGGTAAAATGTTATTTGAGTAAAATTTATGGATCCTGTTTAAATAAAAAAATAATAGCTTATATGTCCCACTGCTGGGCAAAGGCCTCCTCTTTACAGAAGGTTGTAGGGCTTAGTCCACCACGTGACACCACTGCGGATTGGCGAACTTCACATATCTTCGAAATATTTTTTATTAATTTGTTATTATTTTAGGTTTTCTCACGATGTTTTCCGTCACCACTGAGCACGTGATAAGTCAGCAGATAAAATTGACAATTCCATTGGTGCCGGCTACAGGGAACGTACTCAGCTTGCTCAAGTACATTGAATTATTCGAGTAAATTCCATAGTAATCGGGTATATGCCATAGATAATTAAAGTGACCACCCCGACAAGCTATCATGGCTCATTTTTTTTAGTTTAAATAAATTTCAGAATAATCAATTAATAGTAAATCATATTAATTTTGATGGGTCTCTTCTCTTCACTTGGAACACAAGATGATTTACATTTGCATGCATTTCAAATGATTAGGAAATGGAAAAATTTTTTTTCGCCACATGAATGATTTGAACCTGCTTCCTATGGGTTCTGCGACCGATGTTTTAGCCACTAAGTGAAACGGCGTATCGAAAATTTCAACGTATGTATCTGCGTTAATTTACTCACTTTAAGATTGGATCAATTAGTAACATTCTAGCCATCAAAGGAGTTTCGAATTTTTTTTAGGACCTTTCGGAGTAAACGATATACAATAACATTCTTACATTCGGTGGATTATATGGGTTTCATGATTACGTTGTATTGAGCCAACTTTAGTTGTTGCAACGACCGCGCTAGCGACTGGCATAGCGGCATTGACATTTTAAAAGGATCGTTTCCTGAAAGTCGATATTGGAAAGATCACTCTGCCAAAACACTCTAGAACCGCCATTTAAAACGGCAAATAGGGAACAGACATTCGCTGTCACGACAGGTGCCAATATTTTGCAGTGGATTCTTTGTTTTATTGCCTTTTTATTAGGTACGTATGTGTACGTGTACGTAGTGCACGTATGTGTACGTTACCAATAAGCCATTGTTTGTTGGAGTGTTTTGACTGCAAACATTTCCGCTATGAAAATATGTAGCAAAGGAAATATGTTGAAATAAGTAGACACAAGTATTTATCGATGAAAGAGAGAACTTGGATTTTTAATTGTAATTGCAAAACACAAAAAAGTCAAAAAGTAAAATATTGATTTCGGGCTTTGCAAATGATCTTTAATTTACAATATTTATATAAAGTTTTACACAATGGACTTAAAGTTCTACTTTGTTTATTATCAAGAATCCTGTACATTGTCTCAAAATGATGTTTTAATCATTAGTTTGAAAAGTTTTAAGCTTGTTTTCCCAAATTTTTATTCGAAGGCGACAGTTACGTTTCTTAATTCACGCGTGTTCACACAAATTAAATAAAAATAATACCTACTACTATAAAACAATGATTAAAGAAAAGATCTAAGTTAATGAGACCTTTTTCAACAGTTCAACATTAAAAAAACCTTTTAAATGTGTATTCGGCGCAAAGTCTATGATCTAGGCAATCATTTACGTAAAAGGTCATTTCTTTGGAACAGTTCGACCATACTATCCATTTCCTAATTACATTGGCGTTCAGTAGTTTACGGCTAGTCTATATCTCGGTCAACATTGGATTGTCTCATTCATTTTATTTCCACCTAAATTTTAGTTGGGTAGGGATGCTGTAATGTATTTAACGTAGGCTATTATATCACGAAAGTCCATGAAAGCGTAAGCTAGTGTCCCGATTAGATAATTAACTTTATTCGAAGCATAACAATTAGTATGTATATTCTATTCTGTATCTCATAAGCTTTCCAAAACACTCACTACTTCTTTATATTAATTAATCAGAGCTTTAGGCAAATGGGGCTCTTAGTGTATATACGGCATGGTAAAACGATCTCTTTTATCCCAACGGGACAGAAAGAGTCAGAGCTATCTGCTTTTCACTTAACTAACGAGTTTTCAAACGTTCTTTAAATTTTGTCAATGTACATCAATTACAAATCCAATGTAGTTATTTGTACACGTTAGATTTTCGCAGAACCAGAAGAGATTTTGGAACGCCAACGATTTCATCAATCAACCAAGTGGGCCTAATTTTTTACCACCTAAATTTTTTAGACGCAAAGATTGATAACAGCTTAGGCTTAAAACTCGCTACTTGCGTCATATTAATCATCAATAAAACCTGCCTGGCGAGGTCTCTATGTAAAATATAAAAACCAAAATTTGTATTTTATTGCATTCGAAGTTTAATTTACTACCACTGTATTTCGTATAAAGCCTTGCTTAATGTTAAAGCGGATTCCAATTACCCTGAATTTTTATTTTATTGCTTATTTCAGGTTCAACGGTTCTTTTATTTTAGATCAAATCTTGTTTAAACTCGAGCCAGTTGAGACTTTATCGAAATATTCAAAAGAAATTATAACCAAATCCTACTTATCTACTATTTACTTAAAAAGCTTAGTGAGCAATCCTTATTTTTATCATTCGTCTTTCTTTTTCGCAGTCAATTAAAGTGGAATCAACGTTCCTTGCTTTCATCGTGCTTTTTGCGTGTATCGCATTAATAATACCGTCGTACCTCATCATTTTGGGCGTAATATCGCTCCTTTCGAAATCAAGCTGCAGCGATGAGACGGAAACGGGCGCTCTATTCCCTGAAGCGAACGGTTCAAATTGGGGCGACAAATTGACGGTGTTTGCGATGTTCTTCACCGTGATACTGTGTTGGTAAGAAATTAATAGCAACATAATCTTTTTCGCTCTTATATAACTTGATTAATAGCGACATTGGCCTTGACATGTGGTTCTCCTTTTTGAGACTACGTATTTGGTCCGTGGTAACATTCTCCGGCAAAAAGACCGTTTGAAAAATATATATTTCTACAGTCTCTACGTATTTTTCTATAGACTCTATAAAAGAAATAGTGAAAGTAATGTATAGATGCCTCCATAGTTTCATAGGCTTTTGCTATTTACTAACTAGATAATAATTGCCAAAAACTAATGGGCATTTTTGCTATTGCATTTACATTTTCTTGATTAATTACAATCGTTTAGATTATAGTAGCAATTTTTATAGAAATTTGTTTAGTTTTGATTAAACCATAATTAATCTAAGTTACCTTTAAAATAATAAGTTAAGACGTTATAAATCTTTATAACTAATGCTAATATACAAGCAGAGAAATTTCTTTTATACACACGCATGAATCATGTGCTATGATCAAATCCAAAACGGAGTGACAGATAACTGAGCTGACCTTGCAATAAAATATCGGTACTTTATAAGACCTAATGCGCTTATCTGCAAACCCACACCTCCATAGCTTTTGCTCGAATGGCGTTGAGAATAGATAGGAAGAGTCGAAGAAATCATAATGAGGGTTTGGTCAGAGCATTTCACAAATAGGCTCGAGGGAACAATTTTTTATAACACTCATATGGCAGGCGATTCAAATTTATTAAGCAAGTTACAAAGCTTCAGCTTCGTAGGTTCGATTCCCACACGGGACACCTATTTTTGTGTTCTTACAACCCAGGATAATGTAATCCTAAAGTAAGGGCAAGTTTTAAAAATAAAAGAATTGAATTAAAAAAATTCAACTTTCACGCAACTCTTTAGGACCTTCTTCCCGGATTACATTATACATCAGGCCATAAATCTGATAATCCAGACGAAATTGATAATCCAAGATGTAAATTGTACATTGCTTGAATAATGGGGCTGTCAATTACTGGCCTGGATTTTTTATGTCAAAAGTTGGGAAGGGAGCAGGCGGCTTACCTAATGTTAAGTGATTAACAACACCCATCTACTTCTGTGATATTGAGTTGCCAATCATTAAAATAAGTGAGGTTAAGCTACCTCACTCACTCGTAAAAGTATGATTCTTCCACTCCACGCCGGTCTTCTGCGAGGCCGCATTACTTTCCTAGTCGTCTGCCCATTCGTGCAACAACAGAGGCTACTACGAGGTTGAGACTGTCTTCCTCATTTTTTTATGGAAAAAGGAGGCAAACTATCAAGCGGGTCACGTGATGGTAAACGATCACCGTCGCTTATGGACACTTGCAATATCGGAGTAGTCACAATTGCGTTATGGGCCGTTGAGGTAGGAATAGGCTCCCTGCTTGAAGGTCCCTACTCGTATTGGTTCAGAAATACAGGCGGATACAAGTGATTCCACAAGGTAGCTGTGCGGGGTAGAAGATTGTGTGAAAAGACGCACAGTGGTGAACCGCCAACAATCAACGTGGTGTCGATGGTAACTGGCGGTTTGACATGTGGTACGATGGTGAAATTGATATATACTCATGAAAATTAATTTCTTCATTAAATCAATCATTAATTTATTTGCGTGGCATTGAGAGTACATAGTTAATTTTATACGATACGAAAGAAATATGAACCAAAATAATAACTGAGTGATACTCTATGTATGACAAAAGAAATGAAAGAAGACACTGCAAACATTGGGTAGACGATTTCCAAGAAATGGCGGGTCATAAGTGGACCCGAATAGCCAGAGATCGAGCAGCATGGAATTTCTTGGAGGAGGCCTTTGTCGAGAGACAAGCTGCTACAGACAATTAAACCGAATACCGATATACTTTAAAGACCACAATTAGGTGTTAACAAGTATTAATGTAAATAGTTATTTCTATAACAATATGTAAGAATAAAACTGTAAAGAGTAACATTAATAAAGGGTTATTTTTTATTTCATTTTACTGATGTTAATTTCAGCGCACTCGTGTGTGGGATGGTCTTGAGTAACGAACAGTCCCATTTAGCGGCAGCGAGCAGTCGAAACGTCGTCAACTGCGCCTGCGCAGACATCGCCGCGTGGCTTTCGGTCGCGGCCCGCGAGCTTCACTACAGCCTGGTGCCGCCAATCGACCTTGTGCTTTACGCTTACCAAGAGGACTTGAAAAGTGAGAAAGTTTTGCCATGCTTTGCCATATGTAGGGTAAAAACCCTGCCAAGGTATTTACGAAATTCTAGCTCCTACGGCTACATGCCCCTCGCCGGGTGCGTAAGTATCGTCTCATTTCGCAAATGGCAAGAGGCATTAGACAGTTCTTTATTTAAAAAAAACTAGCGACTGGCTCTGGCTTCACACGGGTGCAATGTATTATATTCGTACGTATACACCTTCCTCTTGAATCACTCTATCTAGTAAAAGAAACCGCATCGAGATTCGTTGCGTAGTTTTAAAGATCTAAGCATACATAAGGACAGACAGACAGCGGGATGACTTTGTTTTATACTATGTAGTGATGACAAGAAATTAAATTCACAACATCACCATGACTACTTATAGCAAGTTATGATTTCTTAAAATATAATAGTGTAGAATGATTAGTTTACCTTGTGACGATTAGTTATGGAAATTTAATATCACAAAAACAAATCTAACAACGCTACCCCGTTATTTTCATTGGATAGTAATAATGATAAAAATGTGTCAATGTGCGGGAAGTAGATGGATGCAGGTGGCTCAGGATCGTGCTTCGTGGCAGTCTATGGGGGAGTCCTATGTTCAACAGTGGACTGAAACAGCCTGAATTATAAAAATTCCTTAATCAATACATATAATATCTTATGATAATCGTTGATATATCAATGAATAAATAATGTGTCATACACGTGATACGAAAGTAAATGCATGGAGTTTACTATATTACACTTATGATTTTGGAAAAATATTGAGTAATTTTACCATCATTGAAAATCCGGGATCTGAGGATATTTCCTACTTATTATATTTTTACAGTATAATAACGATTAAAATTGCTTCGTATTTGTACTTGAAACTGTTATTTATCATCTGAAAATACAGCAAAATCAACGAAACAATATCGGAATGTTCCACTACTACTGTTCCAAAAAATGTATGTTCGTATGAGTAACAAATGTAGTGTTTAATTGACAAAGAAAGGAAAACAGAAATATTTTTCTGTACAAATATAAATCTCATGTAAATAAAATACATATATAAAGAAAAGGAAGCCTTTAGTAAACAAGCTCATAATAAAGGAGTATACGTTGGGTTTATTGTGTCAGAACTCGCTCACCTCAAATTCTGATACCGTTTCTGTAACAAACTAACCCTTTTAAGTGCCCTCATATTTTTTGAACCGTACAAAATTTCATTCGGCCGCAAATATCAAACAGTTATTTGACTTGGCACGTAGAGCTAACGAGTCCGGGACAAAAGTGCGTGAATAACCTTGATATAACGTGAAGGGCGAACCCCAAGTTTCCGGGACAAACACGCTGCTGGAACGTAATATATTACACAGATACGAAGAGTCGTAATAAACGCTGCCGGCGTAATGGATGTCTTATTTACCTTTTGCGGAGTTCAAACTGATAAAGTTTCGTCAGGAACTTGTTTACGCTCCACAAGATCATGAGCAGACATTCCAATAGCCAGCCATTTGCATGAGAACGCGTGTTGTATCTATTTTGTAGCAAACGGCCCTCATAAAGGTGAAAGGATTACATTATGGTAGCGTACCCTTTCGAAATTGAATTTCACCCAACAAAGAGCACCTTCGCGTTTATTGTTACGCTGGGCCATTTCGACGGATAACGCAAATAAAATTTAAGGTCCCTTTTTAATATCGGTTATTGATGTTCTCTGCTTAACGCAGCACTTAATTTTTTAAAACATTATATAACATGTATTAACTATATCTAACTCAGCCTCAATTGGCCTAGCGGATAGTGAACCAGTCTGGTGCATTAGAGATTAAAGGGTCTGAGCTCGATCCCCATAACTCGAAAAGTACCTATTGCTTTGAACATTGTGTTGTTCAAGTGTCTGGGTTTTTATATAATCTGTGTTTATTTACAAAGGAAAAGTATGTTTATTAGTAACCAAATACCTGTAGTACCAACTTTGAGACTAGATAAAGTTGTGTAAAAATATTTATTATTTATTATGCCTATGATTTAAGTAAAAGTAAAATAAAATAACAGCCTATATAATTATGTACCACTGCTGGGCAAAGGCATCCTCGGTACATATTGTATTAGATCAAATACCACCACGCAGACTTCACATTTACTCAAGTATATTGAATTAAAAGCCGAGCACCTAGAGAATAAGCCATTACTATGACTTAAATTAAATGTTGAAATTAACTAAATTATGTAACTTTATTCAGGTTATTCTTTAGGTTTTTTTCCCATATATAATTCAGTGTATGCTTACAGACGTGGATACATTTCTTGGCGAGCCAATACAACATTCGATTGCTTCAGAGAGCGGTATAGACCTGGTCCTTGACTCCTTAGCTGATATAATAGCAGGTAATTATTGAATAGTGTGATTGTCCTTGAAGAGGCACTACGTTCTGTATATTCATGCGATTTGCAGTTGCTTCCCATTTAGAACAGCGTGATGTGATTGGACCAGTACTTATATTAATTACCTCCCTTAGTGAAGGTAGTATTTTAGTACAATTTATGTAGAAATTTAATATATTTACATGTAACATTTGAAATATTAAAGTATTATTTTGTATAGAATAATAAAATAACTAGATTTACACGTGTTATCTAATAACAAGTCAAATAAATACCGTACCTAAAATGATTTTTCACCACGCCACTGGTTGACTGGTAGAGAATGCCAAAAAACATTAAGTTCGCTCTTTGTTATCCTGTTTAAGGTGATTGCAAGTAAGGAATAGGTAAATAAATTAATTATATTTCAGTGGTTCCTAGTGGTTTTAATGAAAGTAACTAGCAAAAGTAATTTAAATTACACAATAGAGTAAGAAAACTGAATGCGAAATGTTTAATATACTTACATTTAAACTACGATACAAAATGTTTTTCTTTAAATATATATATAACTGAAAAGATTAAATGAAAATCAAATGAAAAAATTACTGACTTGTAAAAAAAGTATACTCAAATACACTGTCTCGGTTCTGCCTTGTAAGAATTGCGTTTTATATTTAACGAAAGCTCTTCAGATTTCTTCCGTCGCTTTCAGAGAGTGAAGATCTCTCATCGAAAGTGGCTTCCTTACGTAACATAAGTATAAAGGCGGGGACGGTTGCGGCATTCGCTTCGGACCGAATAAACGATCTCGCCCGACAAATAGATAACATGAAGAAGCAATGCTCCCCCAAAGACGCGCCACTCTGCGACACCGTCAACACGCATTCGTTGGAGCTAAAAATGAAATTCAACTCGGTAAATTGCACGAATCACATCTGTACGTGGTTATTCGCCGTTGAAAATATTCATACACATATTTTATTACAGTTGTTATATACTTGCATGATAATGCCGACGCTAGCTATAATGCTAAAACAAGATAAATACGTTAACATTTTCGTCGTAGTGTGGCAATTTGCGGTTTATCTTAGTGGCTTAAGCGTCAGGCTAATACGAAGACGTGGGTTCGATTCCCACAGCGAAGACAATCTTTTCGTAATACAAATTGTAATATAACTGTAGTTCGTGCGTGTTTGTATGGGATGGGACGACAGGGTATAGAGAGCTTTTTGCATGAATGGAGAGCACGCGTAAAATAGAAAACGTATTGCGTGGTCTTTTTTTAATCTGTGCGAAAATGTTTTTTTTTTTTTTTTTAATTTCATAAAGTATTAAAACATTGTTATCCCGCTATACGCAGATAAACATTGATGACCCGCTTACGCAGATGTGTGTAGATTGTTTGGTAGATAGTATTTGTATTGTATTATATATGTAGGTTCACTACATTGAATGTAATAGATTCCGAGTGCTTTATTGTTAAAGGTTAAATATAGGTTAAATTTTTCTTTTTACTCACCAAATTTTTCTTTTTACTGTTTACTTTATACGTTTTCTAATAAAGTTGTAAAAGAGTTAAAATTGAAAAATATTTTTGTTTTTTTGGTATAAATGTATTCATAAATTTAACACACGGAACTTTCCCATTATTCATCAGTGAACTTTTTTCTAATTTAAGGTGTAAAAAGTCGTTCGGACTTTATTTGATTTCAGTTCAGATGGTTATCAATCTATATAAATATGCGAATGAAGCCGGGGCGGGTCGCTAGTGTGTAATAAAATGTCTAGAATTTTATTTCAAAGGTTATTAAGTGTCTAGCATAATGCGGTTCATGACATAAAACAAAACGTTCCTACAATAGCAATATGCTAAGCGTTTCATTTCCATTTTAAGATACTGAAAGAAGAACAATTGATGGACCTCCGGTCATTAGGAGTTGACAACCTAACGCTTGCTATATCTACTGCAAAGCAAGAACTGCGTTCTCTACCGTCAGTTATATTAACACAAACCAAGGAAGTACGCAGCAGTAAGTAGAATTAAATCTCATTTAAAAATCAGTTCGATCAAAGGTATATTAATCACAAAAATATAATTACATTATCTAATTTGGTATTCAATAATACATGGATTAAATTGTTGGAAGTTAACCAATATATATCAAATTTTTCTTACTTTTATTATGAACCTACCTACGTAAAAAAGACTTTTTATGTTCATAAATAATAATCATCAACATCTCAGAGCAATAAAAAGTACATTTATATCGGTCTGAGATGATTTCTCGATTATTTTCTAACATAATCTTATCTCAATGACTACAGGAGGTAATTTATTTCCTAACATAATAAATACCGGTACGGAACTGAGCAAGTCCTAAATACAACAATTGATTCATTAATAAAACATCGTTAAGAAAAGCAATTCACCAATGATTAATTGATTCCTAGCAGTCAAGGCCTTTCTGACATGGAGCGTTATCATCATCCATCAAAGGCCTGACGATATCAGAAGCAGTTGATTACCGCACAATAATAGAATATTCAACGGCTTGACTATACACAATGTGTTTCCACGTCGATGGAAAAATGTCGACCATTTTACAAAATTGCTTATTTTTACGTTCCTTCGTGATTTAGATACTTTTACACAAATGCAATAGTGGTATAAGTGGAAAAGGAGGAGTAGTAACGGCCTATAATTATATGTCCCTATGCTGGGCAAAGGCCTCCTCTGTACAGAAGGTATTAGGGCATAGTCCACTACGCAACCCAACCACTATGTTAGAGATATGTGAAGACCGCTAATACGCAAGATATGACGATATCTTTCTTTACTATTATTAAGAAAATATGCAGGTTTCCTTGCGATGTTTTCCATTACCAATGAACACGTGACAAGTCAGCACTTAAAGTTAATAATTTAATTGGTGCCGGCAGCGGTGATCCAACTCAGGTTGCTCTAGTGTATTGAATTAAAAGCGAAAGCTAAATACGTTATTGTGTAGCTACCAGTTATGAACCAATTTCATGTATAAGAATTTGTAGGTCATAACAATTCACAGAAATACTACAAGTAGAACACTATATTTGCAAGGAGAGAAATGAAAAGATTTCTGACCAGGGTGGTAGTGTTAATCAGACATTCCATAGCTAACGTCAACATTTAGTTGACATACAAAGGCTTCTTTTTAATTTACTTACGAATTTAAAAGGAAGCCTAAGAATCAATTACGATTTAAATACACGTCGAAAATTCTTTCAGGCATCCTACGAGACATAGAGATTCGCAGGGATAAAGTTCACAGCTCCGCCAGAATCCTTAGCGACATCGTGCGGTATCTCACTGTTGGTTTACATTCCTTCGCGAGGCAACTGGAAGCGGGCCTCGACCGAGTCGAGAGATATGAATTTTGGCGATGGACCTTTATGTTAGGTGAACGTTGTACAGTGTACAATTTTTAAAAGTATTTATGGAAACAGAGGAACACCCGACACAGTGGCTTCACCTGATGTTAAGTGATAACCGTTGCCCATGTTCATAATTATGTTAATAATGTCTTTGTTAAATTTTTTATAAATATCCATGTCTTATGGTCGGAACTATGACGCTAAAAGCCTTGAATGACAAAACCTCGATTCATTTAGTTTCTATCAGTGAAAACCTATAATTGGCTGGCTTGTTTTCTTATTTATGTTATACCAGCTGTTGGTTTTCCACAAAATAAAAATAAAATAAAATAAAATAGACATTTGCGACCTTGTAATTGTCACCAGAAAAAGTATAAGCAGAATTATAATACTTCCAATTCACTGTGGTATTACGACCTACCGCACAAAACTTCGCGACTTTTGCATGGCCCTACCACAGTAGAAAAGGGATGTCACATCAAGGTGGTACAAGTTACACCCAAACTCAGAACAAGTATTTATATGACAGTTTGCGCGGTGATCAATTGAAAGTATCCGAGAAATTGTACACTTTGTAGTACAGCTCATATTCAACTATAGATCTGAGAGATCTAGTATCTATAGATCTGAGATCTTCGTCAAAGTTCGCTCCGTTTTAATATATACCTTTAATAATTACCAAAACTGACGTTTGCGGTCGGTGAACGGCGACTGGTTTGCTACGTTTAAAAATCACAAGTACCTTATAACATATATGATATATGGGTATGAGATAATACGGGCTGAATCATTGTATATCATAAAGATTTACTAAATAGTCGTTTTTTCTTCGTTCGTGAAATTCGTAGATTCACTAGATAGTTCAGGCGTTTGCAATCGTAATGTTATATTTGATCTTGTAACAAACAATCAACAAGTAATTCAAATACAAAGTAAATCATAAATATGCTCTACGATTCTAATAAAATTTATTCAAGGTCGAGAACAAATCAATGTTAGCTAAGTACTCAATGCTTTTTTGTTTTCAAAAATGCATAAGTCATTAGAATGGTTCATGCATACATGCCTTAATCAGAATACTTATAATAATGCGGATTCGGTCAGTGTTTCAGAATTGTAATTTCCGTTATGCAAGTCTCCACCGCTACTTCCTGGCAATCTGTTTATATATTATTTTAAAACCAGTTATCCGATTGGATTATTATATTAATATTGAAATGAAGATATTTTTTGTAACCTTGAATTGTAATTATTTTTATAACCTTGACTAAAACTCGCTTCCGCTTGTTGTTGAGAGGCCGAATTTAAAACAGGTTTATCAACAGTAATTTATTTGCGACAATATAAAAAATCTTAATAAGTATTATGTTTGCATTAAGTACCTACTTTAATACCAAATTTAATTAAATGGGACAAATTATTCTCGAGTTTGGTGATGTTTAAATACCCTTAGATTGTAAGATATGATTTACTTGAGGAAGATGTTTCTAAACGATGTTTAACGGTGGTAGGGCCACGCAGCAGCCTCGGCTGTTGCACGAATGGGCAGGCTCGTCCAAGTAAGTACCACGACCTCACAGAAAACCGGTGTAAAGTGGAAGTACAATACTTTCGCGTTTCGTCTGGTGAGTGAGGTGGCCGAATTTTTAAAAGGTTGTCAACGCATCTGGAACCCTAGGGTGTAGCAGATGTCCATAGGCGGCAGTGTTCACTTAACATCATGTGAACCTGCTCGCTTGATAACGTTTCACATAAAAAAAAATTAAAAAGCGTAAACAAATGAAATACAACTTTAAAAACAAAAGTTTTTTGAAAAAGGGTAAACGTATTTTAAAGACAGAAATTTTTAATGACATACATGTCTCATCGGACTTGTAGTGACGGGTAATGAGATTGTCACCGACAAAGATATCAAACACGGCACTAGCAGTCATTTGCTGATATTATATATATTTTAAGAATAATTATTAATAATAAGAAAAAAAAATACTATATTGTACACCCATAAGAAAAAATAAAAATGAATAATACACAAAATATGTATCAATTATTTCTCATCAAAAGACAACCGTATTACACAGCAAGTTCTTCCAAGCAACCTCAGAAATTTACCAAAAGTCATTGTTGATGGGTAGGATGTACATGAAAAGAAATAAAGAAAAAATAGCAACATAAATCAAAGTAATAAGAAAAATATACCTCCTATGAGTGACCATCGAGTTGGTCGACCAAGACTGAAATATAAGAGGAAGGAGAGAGACATCGAAAGATAGAGAGGAGCGGACAGGCAGATAATGCTCCTTAACTTTTGATTTTAAGAATTAATCTTAGAACAAACTTCCTAATAAAAAAAATTAATAAATAAAATAAAATAAATTATTCTAGCTGAACGACGTATAACAATTAAGTGTGCACAAAACAATGAATGTTAAAATATTTGTTTATGTAACATTATGTTATGCAATAAACATGATTTTTATAAGTGGAAAACAGAATAACGCATAGCTGTGTCTGTTATATATTTTATACAGCGTGTCGTTACCATTGCGACAATAAATGAACACACATATAGGGGATAACTTTTTAAAGGTGTATTAAACATTTAAATTCTTTAAACATCAATATTTACAGAGTTATTAAATTTTCCAAAACAAAGAATTTTAGAACACCCTTACCTATAAAAGCGTAACGTAAAGTTCATTTGTAAAGGTCACAAAGCATATGAATGGGTTGAATGAATTTAAAAGAGACAAAACATACTGTTAGAAGGAGAGGCTTGTAATGCAACGCTATGGCGCGAATTGTATAGGATGTTACAAATTTTGTTTCTTTTTTACTTAATTAGTTTGTTTGAAAAATATATTTTTTTAATTATGGATTTTGTTTAACGTTAATATTTTTTTATGATTATTGGCAAGTAGCGTTAGACGTGTGTTCATTTATTGTCGTGATGGTAACGACACGCTGTATTTGATTTCATAAGTTCATTAAACAAAATTTATTTAATTGCAGCATGCACCATAGCTTGCGCTCTGGTTATGATACTAATGTTAACAGCCATGCTTTGTGGCTGTGGAAATGCAAAAATACATGCCAAGAGGACTCTTCAAGTGTAAGTTTACAATTTAACAAATACCTTAATTTTAATTTACAGTAAACGAACCTATTACTACAAAGATTTTTGTAGAATTTGGAAATTTTGTTGATTTTGTAAACAGGACTTAAAGCTTAAAGAAACTTTTGTGATGAAATTTGATAATATATTTTTATTCAACACCTTCTTCATTGCACGATTATGGGAATCATACTTAAAATATTACTTATCTTTAGTCAAACTATAATTTTTTTAAGCCAAAAAAATAAGTATTTAATTTTTAAACTATTAAAAGTTTGGATTGTTACGTGATATCTTACTTCGTTTCGCAAAAGTATCTTGGCAGACATTATGGCCATTTGTCAGTATACTTACAGATCGGCAGTTTGGACATGCTTCGCCTCCTTGCTTTTATGGGGCGTGATTTCCGCAGTGTTTCTTATCGCTGGCCACGCTGAGGTATGTATGCCTTTTGTTACACACATACAGTGATGTAATTATTAATTCCTTTCAAGAAAAACTTGTTTCTTTAACTATAAGCAAATTCAAAAATTTGAGCATCAGCAGAAATCCATTCCCTTGAATTTACTACGTCTAAATTACCTATTTAACATAAGCTTCTTAATATACTGAATTGATGATATTGCATTATGAGGTAGCTGTTGTTTTTGTAACCTCAACAGTGATAAAAATATTGATATGTTATATACACATAAATATTTATAAGTACTATAACTATGAATTTATCATCATAAAACAATAAGATGAGTAATAAATAAAATTATGTTTACGGATTTATAGCGTTTATTTTTAGTTTTGTTTCCCGGCGTTTCGAACCCTTTTCAGTGTTCATGGTCGGGATAATGAAATTGTTAGATGAATATAAATAAAATAAAAAATACATATCTATTTTACTTAATAAATTTTAATGTGTAAGAATATTTAACAAAATTTAATTTTATTACTTTATCTTTTCTCGTGTTTTAATTAAATTAAAAACTAAATGATTCAATTTAATGTGAAAGTAAATCTCATTTAATCGGAGCAATTATTCCTAAAGATAAGTTTGCAGCGCTAAAATTACTAGGCGTTTTACTAACGGTGTTATGTTAATATAATTACTAAATCACCCGTTTATTACTTAACTCTATAACTAACCTTAGGAAAAAACCAGAGCCCTAAAAAAAAGAATTACAACTGTATGCCCACAGTTGCAATTTTTTTTTTGCCTACTAACAAGTTTCCTCTTACTTTAACCATCTTTACAAATATAAGTTAACATTCCTCTCAGATCTCTTCGAGCAAAAATGCCTATAAATTATTACTGTAGCGTATTTTCGTACTAAAATACTGATGCTGAAAAGTTAATATTGATATATGAATGAAAAATATATTTTGATATAAAAACATTAATAATTAACACAAAACCTTTAAAGTATCAAATGCAACGTGCATTTAACGATGATGCACGACAATAATCATTAGTCAATATATTTTAAAACTTAAAAAAGGACATTTTAGAGCATGTATGACCATTCATAATTTTTATTACATAAAAAAATTATATGACAAGTACTTAGAAACGTTTGTTACAGTTTTTCTTTTTCGATCATCGATAGGTAAACTGCGGAACGTCTTTATTTAATAATTAAATGTGAGACAACTGAATTACAAAATAGAGACACAAATAAATTGCAACGGTGCATTACCTATTCCAATCACACATAATATAATCACAATAACGTATTATGTACTAATGGAATATTACAATATACTATGGCAGAAAAAAATAGCAATTTTTCACAAATACTATCCTGCGATAAATATTTCATCGTATGGTTCATAATAATCTCTTAATTTTTGTTTATAGATCTTTTACTGTTAAAAGATTATATGAACTTCTCTTAAGAAGTTCATACAATCTTTTACATAAATTAAGTTGTTTTGCCGTAGGTATTCGCGTGTCACGCGCTTTGGGATACTTCACAATATAAAACTCTGACGAGGATTTTGGACCGACCATCACCGCTGCTCCCGAACCAGGAGGGCATTTTTGATGCGCTGTTCAGAGATCTTGAAAACGTCACTATTGACGTCTCAGTAAGAGACGTCTTGAGGTTGGTACAGTTAACTTATTTTTACCCGAATACGCGACGTAATGGAGGGTAATGCGCTTATCAGCCTATACAATATGTACATGTAGAGACTTAGTGCTTGGTCTGATTTTGATGATTCTTTCGTGTATTGAATTATCATAACCTTTCGAGAGTCACTAAAGAAAATACCATAATTAGATTTTTATACGGCGACAACCAGACGTCATGTTGTAAATAAGTTATAACAGCGTATAGACAACTGTATTTACAAGCACAAAATTATTTTATTTTTTTAAAAGTACGAGTAAGTAGATATTTCTTATTTAAAACTAAACATAAATGATGAATAAAACATAACAACCACGTATAAGTATCAATATACAAGTCATGAACATAGAACTGCTTTGTACGATAAAATTTATATGGTAGAATATAAAAAATTAATATCTACAATGTGAAGTTATCTTTTAAAAGAGTATACACTTGGGACTAAGAGACTACACTTGGGTTACATTATCGTGTTTTGTTTGTCGCATAACATAAATAATTATGGTGTACGGTGAAAAAATATTTAAAATTTTACAAAATTTTAAAGAGATGAAGTTCAAGTAATAGTTCACAAACAACTTGTTTCTGCTACATGTATCCCAAACAGGTGGGTACAACATGTGAATCATTTATTAATGGTATTGGATAGGATTTTTACGCCCAGTCATTTACCTGGGAAGTGACTGGGCGAATTCCTCGTTGGTCACACAAATATTTTTTCCCGTGCCGGAATCGAACCAATGACCCACAGCGCCGAACCCAATAGATTAGCAAATTTGCGGTCGAGTCAGTCACGTTCATGAAGCTGAAACGAATGAGTACTAATAAAACACGTAATTCTATATTAACTCACGTGTTATTTCAAGTAACAACCTCTATGGTGGACAATAAAAATCAGTCACCTATCCTGTGTCGTTTTCCAGGGACTGCGAAAGGAACCAACCAGCATACGCCGTTTTCCAACTCGACAAAATCTTGGATGTCAACAAGGAGACGTCTTACTTCGAATGGGTGGAGCTTCAAACGGATCTGGGACGTTTGTCGTCTACCGTGGACGTCAGCTTCCTAAAATCGATATCCGCTCCATTCAACAGAATACTCAATGAGATTCTGATAAAATCCAATGTGAATCTACCGCTATATAGGTTGGTACTCACTTACTGAGGAATAAACGAAATTTTGATTGTAAGCAATCAGGCAAACTAAAAAGTATTTTTACATGACATCGAAGTAATTATTGTTTTCTTATCACCTTGTTATCATTATGAATATAAAAAAAGACCTACAGGCATGAAGAACATTCTAGTTTCTCAAAATCCGGTAGTTGAAAACATTTTTTTATGAATAAAACGTAGTGTATTTTTTATAAAGCAAGTTCCTGTAACAATATCGATTATTATTTTCAGGATGGAATACAACAATGCGGTAGTCGGGAAGGACTTACCAGCCTTAGAAGATCAATTGGAGAACGTAGCAGCACAAGTGTCGGATTTGACTACATCAGGCAGACTGGAGACTTTGGGTATGAAATCAATGTTTGAATTATCTCTTTCAATATAAATGCTGTTTTCAGACACGTTAAAATATTGAACGTTAATTACGAACTTAAATTAATAACTTAAATCACCATGATAATTATGCCATTTATTGAATACGAGTACCTTGAACTGCGATATAACCCAATTCAATGGGATCTTTAGCGATTTTATTGACAGTTCTTTATACTACTTCTATTTCTTCATACGTAAATACCCAATGATTTCCCGGCGCCATTTTACGTTTAAAAAATGTAATAACCTTGTTATAATTATATTTCACAGCTAAGCGAACACAAAGGGTGTACCTTACGAACATAAAACCACTGGAACAGCTACGAGCCGAACTGGTATTCAAATTGACAGAACTTGAGCTGCAACTAGTACCCTATAGGAGGCGGTTAAACATCTCACTGAGCCATATCCACACGGCGCAATTCTATATCGACAACCAGGGTGACGTCATTGCGCAGAAGGTAACCTTAAGGTCAAAATTACACGAATAAAATACGTTAGATGCGTTCTAGATAAAGTCTCATAAATGTTGCCCGAAACCACGAGGCATCCACCCACACACGGCAATTAAGGCTGGCACTGCTTGTTTTCAAGCCAACTACATTTTCCGTTCTTGGCAAAATATTTGTAGACAACGGTCTCGTTGAAAAGGGAACAAATCCTTATGTACAACGTTTAAAATATTTTCAAACTTTAAAAAATCTCAGTACGAAACCAAGACAGTTTAATACTTTCTTGACCTGCCTTCAAAGTGAATATTTAGTTAGGAATTCAGTATTACAGTAACAAGGTATCAGAGCTTATGTCATATTTATTTATTTATTTTCTATTTAAAAATATCCCTTACGGTAGGATAGCGTTGTCCTATGTTGTATGGAAGTTTTACATACATACATTTCACGTGGACCCCGAGACCCGAAACAATTATCTATGGATCACATAATAGTTAAAGAGCTAGCAACGTTTTCGAGAGAGAACTTCAGGTAGAGCCAGTTTTTAGATATGCTATCTTTCTCACTCTCCTTGACATAATACAGGCTATCTGGCTGGCAGTGGGGTTGTGTTCATCAGTGCGCATCGTACATTGTACTCTTCCAACATGCCCAATCACTGTTCGCTTGTGGATCGGTCTGGTTGAATGTTTAACAATTGAATTATTGTTTGGCAAATTAATTTTGGGTTTTTAGATACTTCAATAACATCATGTTAAAATTTCAGCAATACTAAAATGTTTTGAAAAAAAAAAATTTTAATTCAAAACAAGTGTTTGGTCTAGTTTAAACAACATTAAAAATATCTGCCAATAAGATATTGCAAAAAGTTCAATTAAAAAAATAAAAAAAGACACCTTAAAATTATTTGAAAAATTGATAACCTGTACAGGTACGATGAGCATTGATAAACGCAACCTCTACCGCCAGCCAGATAGCCAGTATGACGTCCGGGATAGCATATCTAAAAACTGGCCTACCTGAAATTCTTGTTTTCCCGGCGTTGCTAGCTTTCGTACCACAAAAAGTTGTCGCCCGTGGGAATCGAACCAACAATCCCCGGTGCAAAAACCCATGCCTTGGCAACTGCGCAACATCTCTGTCACTTATGCGATAAGTGTAAGACATTTGATTATAAAGATAATATTGCGGAGCAAACTGTTACAAAACAAATATTTCTCAGTTCCGTTATACCCAAGTAAAAAAAAAATCGTGTTAAACAATGTCTCAACGTTTATTTCACTAACGGTCGTATTTCTTTTCCCACAAGCAGTAGTCCATTATAAAAGAATATTCATAAATTGTAATACTGGGACATCTTTTTCTGTGATAAGCTACGTAAGAATATTTCTGTAACTAAATGATAAAAACTATAAAACTTAATACTATTCAGTATTTGACTTATATCTACAACATAGCACATATTATATGTATATATATGTGTGTAGGCAAAGATGTCTTTATTTTCCGCGACGTTGCCAAATTACTCTGACAATTTTTCATGCATACACCTTTATATTATTTTTTTAAACATTTCACCTTAACATTACTAAAAAACTATTCAAATTGTTCGCCTGGTGTATTAACACATTTTAATATCTTAATAGCTTAACTTTAATAAAAACATGTTGCAAAAACGTCTTCCATTTGAACTCTAACCACATAAATCTCATTCATTATCTATTGTACATATCGTAAACTTGAAAGGTTCACGCTATTAAGCCGCCCGTAACATTATGTAAATGCTAGGATCGTTTGCCATTGATTGCGGCTTCGGAGCACGAATAGGCCGCGATTACACTAACAGAAGCGTCATTGCAACGCGCTTTAAGCTCGATATACCATTACTTACAATTCAGAAGGTGTCAACGTACGTGTCCCGGCTAATCTCGCATGCGGCCGGGTGGCGATCTCACGTACTGACTTCTACCGGGAAACAGGCCGCCCGATGTCAGCCTCTGTTTGCGGTCTTCGCTGCTATCCGGGCATTGTTATGCACTAAATACGTCGCGTCTCTGGTAAGTTTTTAAAATATTTTTATTATTTAAAATATACATATTTTTTGTAACATAAATGGTTAAGTTTTATCTTTACTTAACAGTGTTTTTTTCTCATTTTGGTTGTTTACATATATGGTTAAGTTTCATCTTTACTTAACAGTTGTTTCATTCTTTTTGGTCGCTTCTCTTCTGTCTGTTGCACAGTAGGTTTTACAAAGTAGAGCTATAATTAAGATACCATTTAACCAGTTTTTTTATACCTCCTATATTAATCTGTTTCGATGTATACTTTATTTGCGATGAACGAATAAAGAAATAAAGTTCCGAAATGGCAGTCTACATAAATTGCTTACCTATATTGTATTTGTTGGAAAACTATATTTGTAATGTGAAAACGTCTGATATCAAATCCGAACTAAGAAAATACATAAATATGACATTCAGGTAGTACTATTCACGAAACCTATTTTAAATTACATTGAATTTGCTTAAAATGTGAATTTTTATAGGTGAACCGTCGAAAAATTTTGGACGCTGCCAAAATTTGAACCTCTTCCGGTTGACACGCCCAGACGTTCTAGCCGACTGAGCTTAGCGGTCGCACAAGAATGCACATTAGCACCACAACTAAAAACACGCGTGTGTACTTATGTACGCGTGTAAGAAGTTATACTTACAACAAAAGAAAAATAACTAAAAGTTTTATCTTTTGTGCCAGTACACTTTATTTTTGAAAAGACAAAATACTATTGATAAAGGTTTAATTAAATAACTTGAAATTATAGGTAAATGATAAAAAGTTGTTATTGGTCGCCATGGTAATACCGCGAAGTCAATAGAAGGTCGCTTTGCAACTAACTTCATTATGTCGCTTTTTGGCTGTGCTCTCATTTTTTTTCCAAACTCACCAAAAGAAGTATAGCTTTAACAATAAACATTTGTTTAGTGAACGTTCTAATTTATAAAAAAAACTTACTTATTTTAATACTTTTCTTGTCCAACCTATTAACAGCACGGCTGGTGGGTTTGCGGCGTTATTTTGGGACTTCTATGGTGCATTCTTCTAACACCTTTATGCGTTAAATTGTGGCGAACATACGATAGAAGGATCAACGCCCAAGACTTAATGACTATGACCAACTTTAACACCGCGTAAGTACAGGCCATACCGTTCATTAAATTGTTCTAAACGTTAAGTCTGCGCACCTTACTTTTCAACCGAATTCAAAAAGAGGAGTTACTCAATTCGACTGTATTTTTTTAATGTTTGTTACCTCATAACTTTCGACTGGTGGACCGATTTTGATGATTCTTTGTTTATTTGAAAGCTGGTGCTTCTCATGTGGTCCCATATTAATTTCAATGTTATTGGATCTTGGACTCCGGAGATACTTAGATAACTGCTGATAATCAATTATAGAATGAATACAGAGTGAGATTTGAATTCGGTTTTGTTTTTCGTTATAAAAAGAACTTGTACTACATCAGAACGCCATTAGAATTATTATATAGTACATTAGAAAATAGGTAAGCCATCAATATTCTAACAAATTTCCACAAAAACAGTTTCCAATTTCAAGCTTAAAAATTCAAGTTGATTTTAATAGCTTTCGAATTTAATTAAAAATCCATGAATGCTGTACGGACTCGATTCGAAATCGAATCGTTTATATTTAAATATGAAGCTCAATAAAACAATGAAATATCATGCTATCGATGCCGGATTACCGTCGAAATGTCAACCCAATTTCTGTATTGAAATTTGTGTATTTTATCAACAAAAGTGATCCATTGAAACATTTATGCCCTTACATTTTTCGATGTAGTGGTTTTCGCACTTAAATTATTATTTATTAGATACAAGATACAAGAGATACAAGATGCCGTCGATATTCTAGTATAATTAAATCAGTAGTATATACTGTTATGTAATCTATAAAATACAGCGCATTTTTTATGTACTTCAAACAGTAATGTGCAAAATGTGCAAAGGATTTTTAAGACTAATAAGGCATGAACAGTGTAAGCTTATAATATCCAAAATACTAGTAGTTAACTTCGGCTTACGAATATTATTAATATAGTTTTGATGCCAAAATCGCTTCATAATTCTGTTACAGGTGTGTGATCGACAGGACTTTTGTCTTGTATATTAACGTTAGTTTGCGATCATTCTTCAAGCAGCAATATTTAAATAATATATAAATCAAATGTGTTAATTAAGATATATAATCATTCGTTATTATTATTATTTTTATGTGTGAAGGTGGCAATAGAGCTGGCGGATCATCTGATGTTAAGTAATAACCCCTGCCCATGGACATTTGCAACCCCTGTAGGGTTGCAGATGCGTTGCCGCCGTTTGTTAAAATGGGCCCGGGCTACCTCACTCACTAACGAAACACAGAAGTATAACACTTCCACTTCACGCCGGTCTTCTGTGAGTTCGTGGTATTTACCCGAACGGGCCTGCCCATTCGTGCAACAGCCGCAGTTATCAGCCTATCACAGTTATCATTTATTAGTTTTATAAATGCTGTAATGTTAAAAAAATGCGTATTTATATTATTTACAGACCACAAGGAACACCGGAAACAGAGCCGTGCGAAAACGGCAGCTGGAACACGCCAGGGTCAGTACCTGGGTAATTTCTTATTGTGATACGACACAGTAGTATAATTATGTCAGCTTTCATCCTAATTGCAATTAACGGAATACAATTTGTGAAGCTTTGTTTATGGCTGTTGGGGCAACCCTCGACCCCCGCAAGGGTCTTGACTTGACCAGTACTTGTTTGTGTCACCTACACACATGCTATCGCATTTGTAGCAATTAAAAAAATTCAGTCAAATAACTATATTAATGAATTATTATTTTAACTTTATTGTATGATTTTGCTTTTTTACAGTTTACATTTTTAAGCGCAGGCACCACTGAAATTGTTAATTGCAATGTTATGTGCTAGTAAAGGAAGCGTCTTCATAAAATCAATGAATAAAAAAAAAATATGGAGAAATGTCAAGTCTGCCACCCCACGGTGGATACAATAATGAGTGGGAGCTTTGTATCTCTCAGTAAAAATTGGCGAGATCTTTACGGTCGGACGAATTTCATAGAACTACGGAATATTTACACTACGATTTTTGAGTGCGATTACGATTCGTCAACATTGGCTACTTCGATTTTAAGACAACTTATAAATCAGTGAAGCCTAAATCTGTCTATTATTAACTCTTCGTATTTATTTATTAACTTATCTCGGTATTTTACACAAGTCCAGTTTGGTTTTTATAGTTCACAAATCTGATATTCAATGAAATTATTCATGATAGCGAAAATTAAAAAAGTATAGTAAGTTTATATATTCGTGTTAGTGGCATTCATTACGCATAAACGTTAGTTAGTGGCATTCATTTATTTAGATAATGCTTCGAAAAGTACAAGAAGTGGATAAATACAAATGTGAACAACAAATGGTGAAAATGTGTGCGTATAATAATAAACTAAACAGCCACAATTATAGAAGTGCCTCCCATATAGCAACAGATAGCTCTGAATGTAGCGGAAATAATTCAAAAATTAAATCATCTTATTCTAACTTTAATGTCTATTAGTCTATAGCAGAGTTTCTTGCCGGTTCTTCTCTTGCAGGTTTAGTTTAGTGAACGGCTGGTAGTTTTTGACGTTCATTAAGAGCTTAAAATAAGCCTATGTTTAATAAAGAAATTTTGACTTTGACTTTGACTCTATCAAAAGCCGTACTTTAATCTGAAAATTTAGATAACCATCTCTAAATTATCGACCGTCTTAAGTCCCTTTTTAATCTTAAGATATTTAATTGGAATCAAAATATTGTGAATGTAATTTTATTACAATTTTATATGAAAAGATATATATTCTTTTATCAAATTATAATGATATATTCTTTTATGAAAGGAAGTATCAATGCTATTAACACCAAAACATATCGAGGAAATAGTGTAAATAAATTTCATATAACTTAATGGAACTTAATAATCGGATAGTCTCATAAATATAGAATCAAAATGCTACATTTTGTGTGAAAGAACATAAAGATATTGTGAAAAATAGTTTAAAAATTATGCAGAGAAGCAATACTAGGAAAGTCACGGAATGGGACTGAGTAAAAAATCCATAAACGTGAGGTAAAGCACATTGTAAAAGCTTTACAAGTTGGTCTTGCATCATTGCAAATGATTTACGCTAGTTTCAATTAACAGTTAAAAGCATTTCCTTAATAAAAATATTTAAAGCAAATTTCTCATTTATCTTTGTATTATCTAATATACAGTGTGTCGTTACCATCGCGACAATAAATAAACACACATATAGGGGATAACTTTTTAAAGTTGTATTAAACATTTAAATTCTTTAAACATCAATATTTACAGAGTTATTAAAATTTCCAAAACAAAGAATTTTAGAACACCCTTACCTATAAAAGCGTAACGTAAAGTTCATTTGTAAAGGTCACAAAGCATATGAATGGGTTGAATGAATTTAAAAGAGACAAAACATACTGTTAGAAGGAGAGGCTTGTAATACGACCCTGTGGCGCGAGTTGTATAGGATGTTACAAATTTTGTTTCTTTTTTACTTAATTAGTTTGTTTGAAAAAAAATATTTTTTATTATGGATTTTTTCAACGTTAATATTTTTTTATGATTATTGGCAAGTAGCGTTAGACGTGTGTTCATTTATTGTCGCGATGGTAATGACACGCTGTATAAAATTCTCGTGTCACGGCGTTGGTAATTGAACTCCTCCGAAACGGATTGACCGATTTTCGTGAAATTTTGTGTGCATATCGGCCAGGGTGGAGAATCGGACATCTATTTTTCATCCCCTAAATGTTAATGGTGGTGCACCCCTAAATTTTTTTTATTTTTTATATATATTTTTTTGTTTTTATTTTTTTATGACACAGCATACAAAAATGCATGTAGCAACCCTAAATTTTCACCCCTCTATGCAGACGTAGTCGCGGGCAGCAGCTACTTGACTATAAATTAAGTGTACTAAACAAAATTTTTCGAATCAATCAATACCTTTGGGAATAAATTGCATTATATAGAATTAAGGAATAAATTTTTATTTTGGGCAAAATTTGACTTGTCGTTTATTCAATAAGCATGAAATAGTGGTAGTATTAGAGTTAAAAAATAATTTTTTTTACAGCCCTCCACCGCCACCGCGGGATGACAATTGGTGATCAGATACGTAATAATAAAAATTTCAAACGATATAAATTACATCTACGTACCAATAAGCAAAGAAAAAACAACAGCTACGAATTAACTCCCTTATGTTGCCACGAAGCACAAAATATACTAAGTGTGTTTTTTCCTTAAGTTCCACAATGATGTTGTATTAAACAGAATGTCTACTAACACATTTGATGGCTGTGGAAAAAGCATTGCTCTCAATTTATGTATCCTCTCGAAATAAGTTCATAATAATGTAATTTATTAAAACAATTCAAATAAATAAATACTGTCGTGATTAATTTTTTTTCATTTCCACGTTTTCAATTTTTTCACTAATAGCGGCACTGTTATAATAATAACAACCATATATAACTTTAATACTTTATCTTTTTATATTGACATGATAGTTTAGCATATTAATACATAAATTTGTAAATTGGAGCCTTTTTTTGGGGAGGGGGTGTTGCAAGATGGTGATTGGATCGGAGAAGGATAAACCTTCCCCGATCCAATCACCATCTTGCAACAGCACGGGCATTTCGCACTGCTATTAGTCCGTGAAACTAGTCGCCTTTTACCACAGGATACCTTAGTTCTTTTCTATGAGCACGGGAGTACAGGGCTGACGGGGTGGCACGTCCGCTTCTGCTGACCCGACCACTTCGTCTCCTTGTGAGATCTGTCCTTAACCAATCCCGTTTGGTGTTCTCCTTCTGGATCTCCATCCAAGTCAGCTCCTTGGCAAGCGCAGCTGCCGCTGCGACTGGGGGAGAAAGGCCCTTCCCGATCCTCTGGACCAGGATCAAGGCTGTCAGCGAGCGTATGTTCCGCGAAATCTCGATCCCCTCCACAGTGGTGGCATTGCGTCTGGTTCGTACCTCGTCGTTGCGGCCGATGAGTACCTGCCACAGCCAAATGCCCCATACCCCGTTACACTTAGCCAGGCTTCGAAACTCGGCAGGAGCGCGCTGACAACGGATCCGTGGCTCTTCCAACCGCTCACGGAAAACTTTCAGCACCCTTCCGCGCTCCTACTCCCGCAACTCTCCCGCATCCAGGGGCTTAGCATCAACCCGTGAATGAAGAAGGCGAAAATAAACTCGCGCATTCATCTTTGTCAGGATCTGCCAAGTGGAGCCTATAATAAGAATATAAGACAGACTTTTTAGTAAAAAATATTTCGCCTCTGAGTTTGGTCGACAGACATATAAATTTTATAATAGTACAATTTCTACCAAATAATGCAGTTCGATTACTTACAAGCACCAGAAATAACAGCCCATGCTGTCTTTCGTAAAATAAACGACGTCGTTATTTAGTGCGCTAATTTACTGATAACGAGGCGTTCGATTTTAATTCCCATTGGTGCAGAACCATGTGAATTTAGGACACAGTAGCCATTTAATATTATGTTTATTTACGTTTCAAATGTTTATGAAAAGCGTTTGATATTTTAGATATATTTACATTAATATGTAAAATATCAATTAAAAACATAGAGAAAATCACAATTTATAATTTTCTTTGAACTTTCTACGTGAACTATCTGGACTTTATTTAAAACACTTTACTCGTAGACGCTGTAAAATTTTAATTTTTATGATTCAAGCTTAAAGTAAAATAATTTGAAAGAGAAGATGAAATGTTCAAATGGGGACTTTTATTTCACTGAGATATGGAACATAAATTTCAATTAACATGTCAACTTTAGTTAGTCTTTATGGAATTAAATTCTTCTTTTACTTTAATGAACGAAAATTTCATTTATAAATTGCAATACGTTACTACTAATGAAAATTTACTTTATTATACAGTCTTGAAAAACCACTTTACATTTTGTAATCATGTTATATGCTTTCCTCCAAATAACCTTAAAGATATTGAAAGCTTTCTTTTTTGAAATTTTTAAAAACTGCACTATGAATGATCCTGCAGTATATCTCCATCGTATATTAACTTGAATGCAAACCACACGTGTGACCTAAAAATTACATTTATCGCCTTAAATCAATATAGATACAAATGCGTTTGAAATCTAACACAATTCACCAGTTTAATTTGGAAGATTTTAAATGTATCTTTATTTAGATAATGCTTGACTTAAAACTGTTTTAAACATAAAGAACATTTAATGACTAACTTGTATCATAAAATATTTACTCAGACTTGAACATCCAGTGGGGTTTACACGATTATATTTCGATATTAAATACCCATGTAACATTTTAGAAGAAGGAATAATAAATACAACAAAAATACTATCTTAACTTTACTTTTGATCAACTTGAAGCCAGATTACTCGATATTCTTTTAACTTTGACCGACCCACAGACTGCTATTACATGAATGCTGTTTAATCAGCTAAACTTTATCGGAAAAGTATGAATACTTTTCCGAAGAAAGAGCTGGTTCCATCAATGCTCTCATCGGGAAAAGTATGTCTAAAAGATCACAAACACACCTTCCTTTGTCACTGTTAGGTGGACCGCTTGCTTATGTGGCTAGTCCAAACAAAACAATAGATAATTTTCTAACTGGTGATGTGATATTGATTTGATTACCACCGGACAGATCGAATTGTTTCACGTATTGACATCAAAGTTAACCTGGGCTACAGAAAACAAAATAATTCAAGGGAATTAAAAATCAAAATTAAAACGCTATCAAATCCGTAAAATAGTTTAATATAAAACATGTTGGAGGAACTTCCGAAAACACCGGTAATAGTCTCTACAGTGATGAAATAATATGCTTGCCTTATAAAGACGATAAAACAATTTTCCTCAGCCAACCTGCAGCCGCAAAAAAGGTAACCGGAAACGGAAAACGTAAAAAACAACATGACAATAGCAACGTTTGGCATTTTAGCTGGCGTCGAGCCAGACTCGATTACAAGGAGCGATTTAGTTCGATATGCTTCATTCGTTTTGTACCATTTGCTTATGTGATTGTTTGTAGGTAATTCTAGGAAAATAAAAATATCGAAAGTACAACAATGTAAGTTATTTTTATTTGTGTTTAATAAAAAAAGCGCGCGTTGTGGTTTCAATACTTTTTCTAAGGCTTTCGATGAAATGCTTATGATAAAATTCACTACATTTTAAGATGTATACGTTCAACTGTGTTTTCATTTCGAAACATTTTTATTTCTCCAAGATCTGTTATTAGTATCTGATATATAAACATTCTATTAATGTTTTAATATCTTCGAAATGGTTGTCCAGTTCGTTGCAAAGAGAATAAAACATCAATGGATTGTTCCAATAGCGTAATCCAAAGGTCCTAACCATTGGATTCGAAACATTCGTTGATTCATGTTTTTAAAGAATGTAAAAATACGCATTCTACACATGCCATAATGGGGAGAAATATCCTTACGAGACATTACACCTGACAGTTGTTGCGTTGGTATTGCAGTTATTTATTAACTACCCATTGATCAATCAAGTGGCGTAATATCTTTGACCTTTTGTTACACATGTGCCCTTTTGATGATAATTCAGGGTCTATACGCAAATTTGGTCTGATAAGCAATTTTCTTACCCTGCTCATAAACTGGTAAATGATATCTTGATAACACTGGTTTCATTAATGCAAGGATGAAATATTGAGCCCAGTTAATATATACGAACCATTAAACTAATCATCAATAATATCTGTTTAACCCAATAACAATAACTGTTTTCACTCTAGTTGATATTACTTTGTATAAATCGTTATTGTTATCCTTAAATATATCCTTAAATAAACAATAAAAAAAATTGGGTTACTCAATTGATGCATTTGTATATTATATAAAGTAATGCAATATAAAGAGACTAACACTTAACGACTAAAACTAATGTTTAACCTTAGGCAAGAACGGATATCAATGCTTCCAGGCAAGCGACACTGCCAGTGCTGGTAAGTAACAACTGTATTACGCAATTCAGATGTAACGATTCATCGGCTAGTCACTCTTGACCGGTTAACATTTTGCGGGGCCTTCAGATCGTATAATGTTGCGACACCTTGGAATAGATCCGAATCGGCTTATTGTGAGGACTACTGGTGTCGTGGGGCTGCGAAAGCCATTCACGTGGAGCGACAGCTCAGTAGAAAACTAATATCTCACGAGGCCGGAGAGGCGCCTTTGTAGCACATTTTGAATAGTCCCTCGCTGAATGTTCTTTACAGGCACATTTTGTGTTGATTTGGGCTATGTGATGAGAAATATTGATAAAAATGTAGGTATCACGAATGTGTACGAGTTCCTTTTCTATCTAATATATAAAATTCTTGTGTCACAGTTTTAGTGTTGATACTCCTCCGAAAAGACTTGATCGATTTTGATGAAATTTCATATGTATATTCAGTAGGTATAAGAATAGGTTTAAAATTAATTTTTATACCCCTAAGTGTTATGGGCGTACCCTAATTTTTTTCGGAAACGTTATGGAAAAACAATGTTTGCCGGATCAGCTAGTTTATTTAGAGAAATGGTAGTCACAATTACATCAGAGGAGCTACATCAGAGCCACAAACGCTTTGTCATTTATTAAGGAAGTACTAAGCTCTCACCTATTTAAAGTAAATCCACATGGCAAAATGTCACCACAGATTAATAATAAATTTAATACTTTAATCTTGCTCTATAAAGGCGATGACAAAAAATCGTATCCTTATTTTTACATAATTTTTATCTTAGCCATTTACATTTTTGGTACTATAAAGCAAAATGATATATTAAAAAGTTAAGTCTTAAACCGGCTTAATAAAAGTTCACTGGATCGAGGTACATTTAAAAGTTCAAATTCTGTCGTAATTTTGTTATGACACTGATTACATGTAGCGAGAATTTTGTAAATTCATAAAATATATAACTTAATGCACATTAACTCTTGTTAAATATTGGCAAACAATATTTAAACTGATAGTTAATTTTCCATTCTCTGCGTAATTCTACCATTTTTCTTTTCGGCATGTACCGTTTTGTGTGCGTAATGAATTATTAATGAAAAAC